GTGTTCCCGAAGGTTCGTTTTATCTCGTTTATCCTTGTACTCTCTGAGTATAAATAGGCCTTGTATTCAGTTTTAGTGACAAGTTTCGATTGAGAATTCGATCCTGTGACAACAAGGCTAGTTCACATGCAGAGGTATATACATACCAACAACAACACAGTGATCAATACCTAGCAAGAACAAGCATGCATGTTTATATATATATAGGTCACAGTATACGCAAAGTCTACAGCAATTGAGGAAACATAGGCACAAGGCGTAACAACGTACAAAAGCGCTGATGATCACCATGCGGAAGTGCCTTGGTGAATATATCAGCAGTGTTGGCCTGAGTGGCCACGTGAACAAGACGAAGCTGACGACGCTGCAGCAACTCTCGAGCAAGGAAGTAACGCAGAGCGATGTGCTTTGTTCTGTGCTCCAGTCTGTGCTCCTGACACAAGGCAATGGCGGCCTTGTTGTCTACGTACAGAACTGGAGGAGAACGAGGCCGCTCTCCCAAGTCGGTCAACAGGTAGGTGAGCCAGCGTAGCTCCTGTGCAGCCATGGCTGTGGCGTAGATCTCAGCCTCACATCTGGAGCTGAGAACAGAAGGAGCAGGGAGTGGAGAGCCAGGCTGTAACAGAAGACCAGTAGAAGACGGGAGGGTAAGAACATGGCGTAGCACAAAGTCAGAAAGCCGCAGAGACGAAGGTGACGGCGGAGCGAAGAGCAGTCGCGGCTGAGCAGTGCCACCAGCACCAATAGCTCCAGCACCTCCTGCAGCTCCAGAACCTCCAGCGCCAGCACCTCCAGCAGCTCCAGAACCTCCAGCTCCAGCACCTCCAGTACTAGTACCTCCAGCAGCTCCAGAACCTCCAGCTCTAGCACTTCCAATACTAGTACCTCCAGCAGCTCCAGAACCTCCAGCTCCAGCGCCTCCAGCTCCAGCGCCACCAGCGCCAGCACCTCCAACAGCTCCAGAACCTCCAGCACCAGCACCTCCAGTACCAGCACCACCAGCAGCAGCACCCCCAGAACCGGCACCTCCAGCCCCAGGGTCTCCAGCCTCAGTGTCTCCAACAGCAGCACCCCCAGAACCGGCACCTCCAACTCCAGGGTCTCCAACCTCAGGGTCGACACCACCACCTCCAGGTCCAACACTAGCTCCAGCCCCAGCAGCTCCAGTACCTCCAGTAGGAGTACCTCTGGGAACAGCAGGTCTAGGAACTCGAGTAGAAACACCTCCAGTAGCAGAGTCACCAGCTCCAATGCTCCCAACGCCAACGCCTCCCGCAGCAGGGCGTCCAGCTCCAGCAGCGCGACCGTGACGGTTAACGTACCACTCACGTAGCTGCTGTGGGGAGAGAGGGAGAAGCCGACGAGAGTGCTGCGGTGAGGCACCAGCATAGCGACTACGGAGACGGCCACTCCAAGGAGACTGCTCACCAGACGCCTCAGTGCCCCCCGGCGCAGCACCCTCAGACGCTGGACCCCCAGGCTCAGCACCCGCAGACCCCTCACGCCCAAGCTCAGCCCCTCCAGGCTCCGCACCCTCAGGCTCAGCACCCCTAGGCTCCGCACCCCCAGGCTCAGCACCCCCAGAAGCAGCACCCCGAGCAAGACCACCCCTAGTAGGACGTGAGTCACCAGTGACCTCAACCGGCTCAGTCAAGGGAGGAGGGTCTACCTGAGACACACCTGAAGGAGCAGGACTTGGAGCAGGGAGGGGGTCTATTCGAGGAGGACCTGGAGCGAGAAAGAGCGGCGGGGGGGGGGGGGGGGGGGGGAGAGGGGCAGTGCGGTAGGGAAACAGACGGTAAAAGGGGACCGACTCGTCAAAGGTGACGTCCTGAGACGCAAAGACACAGCGCGAGGCAGGGTCGTAAAACTGCCAGCCAGGCGCGTCAGGAACAAAGCCAAGGAAGACGCAGGGAATGGCGTAAGAGGAGAGCTCGTCCGCAGTTGTATCGCGGACAAAGGCACGAGCACCCCAGACCCGGAACCGCGACGCATTGCCAACCTCCCCCGTCCAACGTATTGTGGGCAAAGTCTCCGGAACGGAGACACGGGGCGAGAGGTTGAGCTGATGCGCGGCGTACCGGACCGCAAACGGCCACAGAAAATGGGGGGCAGCCGCATGGATCATGGAGGTACGAGCGACCTCCATGACTAAGCCAATGCGGCGCTCAGCAATCCCATTCTGCTGTGGAGAGGCTGGAAGCGTGAACGTCTGGCGGATGCCGTGCTCCTCACAGTAGGCTCGCAAGAGGTCAGAGGTGAACTCACCACCTCTGTCAGAGTGCAAACGTAGGACATTAAAGTCCAACTCAAACAGCTCGCGGAGCTGGAGATGAACAGCGCGGATCCAAGGGATCAAAACTGCAAGAACATCCCCCTTGCGCTGCAAGGGGAAAACCGTGGTGTAACGCGTGTAGTCGTCGACTACCAGCAGGAAGTACCGCTCGTGGCCCTGTCCACGGATGCGGGCTGGGCCCCACACGTCCAGGTGGAGAGGCTGCAGTGGAGCCTTTGTGGGAGGGAATGAGGAGGAGTGAGGAGCGGCGCGCTGCCGCCCCTCAACACAAGGAATGCAGGGCGGCGCAGGCAAGGGAGGGAGGGAGGGTAGAGACCGGGGAAGACCAGAGACCAGGTAGCGAGAGTGCATGCTACGAAGGCAAGGCAAGGAGGGGTGACCAAGGCGGTGGTGCCAAAGGAGAGTCTGGTGCGAAAGGCGGCGACACTCACACTAGGTAGCTACCTGAGCGGACGCGTACAATTGAGGAGACAAAGGGGTGTAGCGCGACGCAGTGGTGAGGGTCTACAGACTGGACCCATGCACACGTGTGAACGTGGCCAGGTGGCGGGCAGTCCGAGAGCACGTGCTGATCGCCACACGCTGTCCTCCAGGAGTAAAGGTGTCAACCCAATGATCCTGAAGGACGGCGTTTCTCACCAAGTTCGTAGAGAACGAGGGGAGGTGGAGACGAGACAGCTCACCAGACGGGACCGTTGGACACGGAAGCACAGTAGTGGACCGTGCTAGCACTGGGCCCCCAGAGGGGTGAGCTAGTGAGACAGGGATAGGTGCAGGGAGGGGAGTGACCGTGGTAATGTCGCGAAAGAAATAGCGGGAAGCACCGGAGTCAAGTGTAAAGGTGAGCAAGGCCTGAGCGGACGCAGTACGAGGGAGAACAGAGTCACTAGCACCTAGGGCTGCAGACTCTATACCTGGGTTAGGCAGCATACACAAGTAGCAGTCACCCTCAGCACTACCAGTCAATGCATACATGACAGTGAGGATGGCGTCATAGTCTAGCGCAAAGACATCGACGCCCTGCCTAAGCAGCTCTAGCCAGCGGGGGAGCTTAGCCTCGTCGCCAAACTATGCACGCCAGGTGTCGCTCAGACAGGAAAAGCAGCGGGACTGTGTGTGGCCAGGTGTCCCGCATGTCTAACCAGCACAATCACTTGTGCGAATGACATACTGGCAGCGAGCACCACTCAAAGACCCCCCACACTGAGCGTACCACTCACGAAGCTGCTAGGGCGACAGGGTCTCGCACGGACGCGGCTGCAGCTGCACCAAGCCACCGCCAGAAACTCCCAACCGACTAGCTGCACCGCGACTGCCACTACGGCCACCGCCACGACACCTACGGGCATACCACTCACGAAGCTGCTGGGGCGTAAGGGTCTCGCTCGAACGTCCATACATCTGCATCTGGCCACCGCCAGAAAATCCCCACTGAACAGCTCCAAAGCGACTGGTACTGATGCCGCCACCACTCCCACTGCTGCCGCCACCGCTGCCACCATTCCCATCGCTACCATTAAGGGAAGTCATGCGACTAGCACGGCAGCACGCAGGGCACGAAGGGCGGCGAGGAGGCACTAGGGTAGGGCAGGGCGGCGCGCGGCTAGAGCAGGGCAGTGGCAGGCAGTAGCTCCTAGGGTAGAAGCTAGGGCGAAATGAGGCCGAAATGAGGCGAGTATTACTAGGGCATAATAGGGCGGCTCGAAGAGGCCGCGAGGGCGGCGCGAAAGGGCCGCAAGGGCGGCGCGACGCGACGGGGCCGCGAGGGCGGCGGAACGGGGCCACGTGAGCGGCACGACGAGGCCGCGAGGGCGGCGCGACGTGATGGGGCCGCGAGGGCGGCGCGACGTGATGGGGCCGCGAGGGCGGCGCGACGGGGTCGCAAGGGCGACTCGACGGGGCCGCTAGGGAGGCGCGACGCGACGGGGCCGCTAAGGCGGCGCGACGGGGTCATAAGGGCGGCGCGACGGGGTCTTGAGAGGGAAGCGCGACTCGGGCAGTGGCTGAGCGCGCTCCGGGCAGGAAAAAAAAAAACGGTGGGCCCTAGGAACAGTTCCCACAGAGGAACCTGCTCTGTACCATGTGGAATTGAACGAGAATGAAATGACTAAGGGAAAGTTGGGTACAAGTACAAACCCTACAAAGCTGTACCCCATATGTGCTACCCCACTATAGCCAACAGTAGCTATGTCATATAAATCTGACAAGAGAAGACAGGAGGAATCATCAATAATGCGCAACGCGCCAGCCGTTTATACCGCGTCGCAGGAGAAGGTAGCAGCCGTGTTCCCAGCCGTGTAGTCAGACAAACGAATTGGCGAGAGCGAGCACGAGATAGATGGACAGAAAACAGGACCTGCTCTGCGGACAGAAGGTTTAGCGTCATACACGTTCATACGAGCCTTGCCCCTTGCACCCGCACCTCATCTAGACAAACACTGTGCCATCAATCGGCCAGTGCCAAGGATTCGGCCTAGTGTCCTCGCGGTTGGGGTGACGGACAGGGGAAGTTGCGTCCTAGAGCTAGAGACGGAGCATGGAAGGGGGAACAACGGCAAAACGCGCGTACACAAACATCAGAGACAGACAACGTTTGCAAACCGCAAGGACAATCGGGGAGCGGTAAGGGAAGGGAGGGATATCCGTAAAGGGAAGCGTGGATGCCATGCGCCACCGCGTGGGGAGTTAGCAGAACTAAAAGCTGATGGGAGCCACAGCCATGAATTCACAACAGCTGTGGTTTCAGAGTACGCTCACACGTGAGCTTCCACGCGTCGCAGTTGTTTGGCAAATGTGACATAACACGCATGGCAGGGCCGAAGCAGTCCTTGTTGTGAATGTGGGACGTCAAGAGTCGAGGAAGCAAAACCGGGATAAAACATGTGTTCGTGTGTAGCTGGAACTACCAAGCGCTCCGCATGTGATGTCTCTCTGTCGCCACAGAAACATGCGTCACAGCCCCACTTGGATCTTCGTCCGCGTCACTGCTGTTGCTCTCACCGCTTGAGAGGATGTGCTGCAAATGTTAGGGCACCTGATTACTACGCTGCTTCTAAGCATGCATAAGCATCCTGGTAGGCACAGCAGCACAAGGGGGTCACACCCTTTGCATTTTCCAAATCTCTAGCTATCTGAAGAGCGTCTCGCTGCCGTTGGATCTTACTTCTCTCTCATTCCTGTTCCATTTTCCAGGTATCCGAAGGACGTGTTGCGCCAGCAATTGCACTACTGTCATGGACAGTCATCCATCCATCTAGGCGGCGGCGAGAACAGAGCGACGAGGAGCTGCTGCCTAGGCAGGTCAGTTCTCAACCAACCATCCCTCTCTAGTGCCCCTTTCTTAGCAGTGCGAGGTGCTGATTCATTGGTTGAGTCATTTGCAGGGCACATCATCACCTGTTCCCATCCCCCTCCCTGCTTTTCCCCATCCCCGCACCTGCTTCCACCCATCCCCTTCCCTGCTTCCCCATGTCCCCTTCCATGCTTCCCCCCTCCTCTACCGTTCTTCCCCCGTTTCCCTTTACCTGCTTCCCCCCATTCCCTTCCTTGCTTCCCCCCCTCCCCTCCCCTGCTTTCCTCCAGTCCCCTTCCATGCTTCCCCTTGACCCCTTCCCTGCTTTCCCATGTCCCGTTCTCTGCTTTCCCCCCATCCCCTTCCCTGCTTTCCCCCATCCCCTACACTGCTGCTTCCCCCCGTCCCCTTACCTGCTTAGAGTCAAACCCTTCCCAGCTTCCTCCCCTCCCCTTCCCTGCCTTCCTCAATCCCCTTCCCTACTTCCCCTTGTCCCCTTCCCTGCTTTCCCTTACCCCTTCCCTGCTTTCCCATGTCCCCTTCCCTGCTTCCCCCCCCCCCCCCTTCCGTGCATACCCCCTTCTTCTTACCTGCTTCCCCCCATCCCCCACCCTTCTTCCCCCCCCCCCCCCTCCCCTTCCCTGCTTCTCCCTATCCCCTTCCCTGCTTCCGCATGTCCCCTTCCCTGCTTTTCCCCATCCCCTTCCCTGCATCCCCATGTCCCCTTCCTTGCTTTCCCCTATCCCCTTCCCTGCTTCCCCCCCTCCCCTTTCATCCTTCTCCCTATCCCCTTCCCTGCTTCCGCATGTCCCCTTCCCTGCTTTTCCCCCTATCCCCTCTTCTGCTTTCCCCCATCCTCTTCCCTGCTTCCACCCATCCCCCTCTCCTGCTTTTCCCCATCCCCTTCCCTGCTTCCACCCATCCCTTTTCCTGCTCCCCCATGTCCCCCTCCTTGCTTCCCCCCATCCCTTTCCCTGCTTCCCCCCCTCCCCTTCCTTCCCTCCCCCCATCCCCTGCCCTGCTTCCCCATCACACCCTTCACTGCTTCCCTCCATCCCCATCCCTGCTTCCCTTCCCCACTTCCCCATGTCCCCTTCCCTGCTCCCCCCCTTATCCCGTTCCCTGCTTCAGTCGTTGCAAGGAGTTTGTAGCTGGTTTTATATTTATACGGCTTTCTCGGGCACAACAGCTCAACGCACCGCTCCCTTGGTAGGTCAGTGATCATCCCGGCTTCCCTCTTACGCAACAACTCCCTGTTCTTGGCTCTGTCACCCCTGCACTTTAGTTTTTTGTGCACCACCCATATCAGGGAGCCTCCTGAGCAGCAGCACTTTCTGCGCCCGCCATATCTCTTCATATTTGAGTCATCTGTGTGGTAACATGGTTGTTTACGAATTCATATTCAGGAATCTTGAACTTGAACTAAGCCATGTGGTACTCGGGCTTTAAGCAAACCCAGAAATGTGCATATTTGTCGTGTAGAAAGAAGAAGTGTTGCTGTCAGCATTGTACTCTCGTTAGTTAGTATCTCGCTTCCACTGTCACATCCTCCTTGCTCCACTCTACATGTGCACTATGCATACGTGGGTGGTAAATATCAGCAAAAGCGCAACAATTTGAATCTCGACAGAGTATTCGTGTCTACACGAGAGCTGAGGATCGAAAAACGCACAATAATGGCACGAATCCTGGGTATTCCAACCTTGTTCGAACGTGTTTGAGGTGTTTGCATAGAATGGAGACATAAATTTCATTCAAGGAAAAACTTTTCGAGTACAATGCGGAGAGCCTGAACCATATAGGAACAACGTAAAGAGGGAGAATGTTAATGGAGAAGGTTGTTCAGCTACTCCAGCATGTTAGTTGTCAGATCAGCAACGGCATGTGAAAATACAATCAGAAGTATCTCGTATGTAACTAGGAATAGTTGTTCGGGTTCTGCAACATAGGCAGTTACACACACTTTGTGCAGTATATCATTTTATTTAGTTTGGTTCAGATTTTCTGAGAAGAAGGCGCAATGTTGAGGAGAAAGTGCAAAATCCCAAAATTCCCCTGCAAAAATTTCCGCGCTTTTGCCACATTCTGGCGATATTAATCCTCTTCACGTGCTTCATTAAGATTGGCATTCTCTTACTCCATGAGAAGCCGACGTAGTTTGTCCATGTACGCTCACTGGTGCAATCACAACTTTCCCACGGCCCTATAGCGCACCATCTCCAACTCCAAGTACTTTTGCACGGGAGTGATTTGTGTGAAGCTCAACACGTTTTGCAACAGCTCGCACAAATCTTTCAAGAGTTCGAGGCTGCGACTCGTGGAGCGATCGTCCACATACATGAGCAGCCAGCAGCGTTCTTCGCCCATGCTTGACGTGAAGTAGAGCGCCCCAACAACTTTGCTCCTATCCCATCTGTGTTGAGGAGAAAGGGGTCATTGCCTCGTACCACAACAGCGGGTCTGTTTGAGCCCGTCTAAAATCTCAGGAATTTGCATACCCGGGCTGTGCCGACGTTGTAGTGCGCGGGATGTTCCAAGTACATCATGGCATCTAGCTTACCTTGCAAGAAAGGCATTTTTCATGTCCAGATGCATGTGGTGTAAGTTATGTGCAACATGGGACAGGAAGATGTGCATTGTCATGTAGCTGCTGACGGGTGCATGAGTTCTGTCATAGCCGGCTCCATAGGCTTGCGTGAATCATTTCACCCGCGTTTTTGCGAGCGACCGTATTGTCTGCCTTGTAACCCACCATTTCTTCATGACGTAGACGCCATGCGACCGAGCCACTTACTCCCGATTCCGTTTTGAGAACTCTGATTTTTTTGTCCAACGCTGCTACTGCTGCACCCTTCCAGCTAGTCTTGAGCAAACCGCATGGGGGGGGAGGGGGGGGGGGGGGGGGGGGGGGGGGGGTCAAACAGATTCTCCCTCACCTGCCAGATGTTTTGTTGTTTCTGTCAGCTCCAGCAAATAATCGTGTATCTCCAAAATGGACCGCGAAATAGCATACATACGTTTGCATATTACACGAGAAATTCATATCTTCCAACGCAGGTCGGCTTGACCCGACCCGGTTTCGGATCACACCCGAACCAACCCCAAGAAGACCAGGCCGGGTCGTAGGCGGCAGGGTCGATCCGACCCGACCCGACCCGGCCCAAATCCCCCTCGGCCAAACTAGATCAGGTCGGGTTGGTTGGGGGCGACTCAATGCACAAGTCGTAGGCCCTATTAATAGAGTGCTAGGGTAGGAACCATGGAAGTTAGGCGATGAGTGGAAGGTTTGACCAGAAATGTGTCATATTTCAAACCATACAGCAGGTTGGGTCGTGGTGAATCTTATTCCAGCATGTTCACGTGCCTCCATCAGCACTCTCGGATCCAATGTGCTATCAGTTCTGTACCTTCCTAAATTGTAATGGTCAAATTACTTGAATAATAATTTTATATGCATCTGCTTTCTATCCTTTTAAACTCAGGGATGTTTCGATGAACCAGCTTTCAGGAAGCATTCCTGCTAGTGTCTGTGCTCTTACTCAAGCCACGTTTTTGTAAGTCGCACACAATTTGGCAAGAAGCTAAGTACTACCATGTAAGTCAGCCAATACCATCTTTTTCCAGAATAAGTCGACACACATGCTCACCGTATCAGTCAGCTAGATTGGTTTTCATAAGCTAGAAATATATGCGATGTCGGCAGGTACAACACAAGTAAGCATGAGCACGAAGTCTGGTCTAAGGAGGAGAAGGATGCCGCCTTCTGGCCCGTGTGACCGCTGGTGGCGGTTATTACGATATCTATCCTGGTCATTCCACCCACTCTTCGATAGGCTGACCCAGATCCGATTTGTCATGGATGAATGTAGAATTTTGCATGGTTTAGCCAATTCTCTTGAATCTGGAATTAACGTGCCTACCGACGATGCAAGAAAGCAATGCAGCGGAGAGGAAAACCGAGAGAAAGGAATTCTCAGCAGGAAATGACAAAGCGCCATAGGACGAACTGGGCTGGAGAATCTGCTCATGCGTACTATGCAGTCGCCGTACGGTATTCCTTTTTGGCCCGCACTATTTGGTGAAAAACATGAGTATTCTAGCTTTCCTGCTTTCTTCTTCGTCTTGGCATCGCACTCCTTGTTCCTCCATGCAAGAGTCTCTACAACAATCAGCTCAATGACTCCACTCCTGCTGAGATTGGTAACATGACCAAACTAGTAATCCTGTAAGCTTGTCAAACTATCCTGCTTGGTTCTCCCTGTTCATATGCTAGAGGCGCCTTTTTTTTTCACGCTTTGGTGTGAGGTGAAATCGGGTCAGGTTTCGACTTGAACCAGTTGATGTTGAAGCTGTGAATGTCGTGCATTGCATCAAGTGGTTCAGCACGTCAAATGGGCAGCACATTGACTGGGAGGGACCTATTCGGTTTCGGACCACCTGTGTGTTCTCTTGTTCGGTCGAACCTAACCAGCACCAGGCACAGTTTTTTGTCTAATATAGATTAGCCCCCCCATCAGATCCAAACGGTTTGCGACATGATTGTTGGAATTTTATATGTTTTCCTACTCTGAATAAAGGTCCTTTCTTTTATCACACATGTGCAACAGCCGAACCTGAACCTGTTCAGTTCTTGCCCATTCATCGAACCATGACCAGCTTGACCCGAACCTAAACGGGTTCAGGTCGAACAGGCTTGTGACCCAACCAGTCAAACTGGTATGGTTCGGCCCATAAGGGTTGAACCCACAGACCGCATGCTCACATAATGCAATCAGGGTATGTGTCGCAGCGGGTTGTCCACTAGAGAGGTCAGTCTTAGGATGCTGAGATTGGAGAATTTGATGTAGGTAGAGGGAGTTGGACTCACTGCGGTTGGGGGAAGTAAACGACTTGAAAAAGGATTTAGGGATCAGAAACTAGAAATGTTGCCATGAAACCTGCGTGACAAAATATTTGTGTGGTCTCCTTAGTTTCCATTCCACACCCACTCTTACTTCCTCCTAGCTTCATCTACCTTCGTACCATGGATTCGTGGGTGGTAAACATCTGCAAAGCATAACACAATGAAGTAGACATGAGCAATGGTCGAACTTGAACATCGAGCATCTGTCACTATCAACTCGAACTCGAACAGTCGGACTCGAACCTATTATTCCCAAGAGCAGGTTCGGCTGTGGTGACTTCAGGTTCATCGTAAGTTCGTTTATTTGGGCCCCATTCACCATAGCCACATGTAGGGATGAGCAAGGGGCGAACACGAACGTGTTTGCCTCGAACCGAACAGGTGTTCGTTTCTTTGCTCAACCCTAGTCACATGGGTTCGAGAGGGTTTCAGGGCTAGCGACCTCGAACATGTTCGAGTCGAGCCAAACAGGAATTCGATATTTTGCTCATGTCTAAAAATCTGTTGAGTATCCGAGTCTATGCGAGAGCCAAGGAACGAACGACGCACACTAGGAGTGAGGCTCTTTTTTTTTTTTTTTTTTTTTTTTTTTAAATTCAACATTCTTGAAACGTGTTTGAAGTGTTCACACAGAATGAAATAGAAGTTAAACTAGAGGAAAAAGAGTAGAGTACAATGAAGAGAGCATAACCATATAGGAAGCATGAACCCCTCCGCAATGTTGGGCTCACCTCTTCCAAACATCTGTTGAAGCACACGTTTCTAGCCGAGCTAACGTTTTTCACCCACTGGATAGAGCGCATACCTCTGATTATGGCACGCAATACGCCATTGGAAATTAGACACCTAGGGGTATGCTTTGTCCAATCTGGAGCTGACATCGTTATGAATAGAGCGGTTTCAAGTTGTCAGCTTCTGTTTAGCCGGTTTCATGGGCAACTGCAGCCCCTAAGTGGACTTTTGACTATAACGGGCTCAGGCCGGCCAACCGAGATTAAGGAATTCCCAGGTGGACACTTGATGAACCGGCATGGGCCGAATGGGATGGAGAATTTCTCATCCGTACAGTAAAATCCCTGTATCCCTATCTGCCGGCACTATTTGGTGACCGACAATAATATTCTAGCTCTCCTCTTCCTCCTCCCTGTTGGCATCGCACTCCTTGTTCCTCCACGCAGGATTCTCTGTAGCAATCGGCTCTCCGACTCCATTCCTGCTGAGATTGGTAACTTGACAAAACTGGTACTCCTGTAAGCCCATCAAATTCTCCTGCTTGGTTCTCCCTGTTCATACGCTAGAGGTGAGCAAAACGCGAACACGGGGCAAACCGGGCAGGGTCCGACTTGACCCGGTCGATATTCCAGCTGTGAATGTCATGCATTGCATCGACGATCTGGTTCAGCACATCCAACGGGCAACGCTTCGACTGGGTCCTGTGCGGCTGTGGTCTGCCCGTGCTGTTGGTGGGGAGCTTCA